AGTTAAAATTAAAGCACTGCTGAAAGGAAATAGCTTAAAGCCAATGCAGAATAAAGTAACTCTACTATACCCAGCAATTAGCCTCTGGCCTAATCATGAACGGTGTGATGTTAGTCTCTGACCTGAGGAGAATTGTGCTGATTCTCATTAGAAATGAAGAATTGGCTTGCCAGCGATCTCAAAGATAATTTTATATCATTTCAACAGGCTGTGAAATCTGCAGTACAGACCCTCACTGTCGGGGGAGTGGGTACTTCTCAATTTAAGACGATCATTCCCTTGACAACGGCACCCAATGTTCAACAGATTCAGGTACCTGGAAGCAAATTCCATTATGTCCGGCTTGTAACTGCCACAACTGCCAGTAGTACAGCACAACCAGCTAATCAGAATCCCAGCACCAGCACTGCAACCCTGCAGCAAGGTTAGCAAAGCCTTTATTTGAATACATTTTGTGATAATTGTTAAGGTGCTTAAGAAAAACGCAAGTAGGAAGCTGCAAAGGAAGTTTGATGAGATTGGCCAATTGGAGCAGATGCGTTATGCAAGTTGAAATCCTACTGCTTAGCCGGAAATGGTTGTGTATTTTTAAAATTTAAGATTGATTTATGGTTGAAGTATGATTATTTGATATTGATCCTTGCTTAGTTGGAGAGTGCCACTTAATTATGACCACGGCTTGTTCCTCTTACTCACAAGATCAGCTTTGCTTCAGAATTCTTGGAGGTGCTTTAGAATTACAGTAATGTTTGTTGCATTATTTTTCATGGCTTGTGTTAAATAGCCAACCAGGTAATAAAGATCTGATATTTATGTTCACTTTTATTTCAAGTTCTGAAATATTTTCTTTTAAAAATGGGTATAAAGCTTTACTGATTAATTACACAATTCTACTTCATGCCATTACCTCACTTTCAGTTAATAGGTTTGCAAGTGGGGTTTTCATCAGAACACTGCAGGGCCCAGTGATCTCCCCGCCTGCTTGCTTCATTTTGCTTCCACTTCCACTTTCCCATTCTCCCCATCACTGATCGTTTCGTGGCTCCTGGACACATTTTTGCCTTCATTGGAATTGGGGGGAGGGGGAGGGATTTGAGGGAGGAGGTTCCCTACTCAAGTTGTGTCTGAAATCTCCATGTTTTTGTGTGTCTTGGAACTCTCTTAAGCCTGCTTGTGAATTGTTGGCGGGCTCCGTAGAAAAAAAAACCTTGCAGTGTGGAGTGCTTCCAAGCATTCCTATGTGCCAGGGGTCTCCAACCTTGGCAACTTTAATACTTGTGGACTCGAACACGCTGAATTCCTCACCTAGCCATGCTGGGTGGGGGAATTATGGGAGTTGAAGTCCAGAAATCTTTAAAAGTTGTCAAGTTTGGAGACTCCCGTTATGCACCACTGCAACAGTCTCTCCCCACCCTATCTCTTGCTGAACTTTTCCCTCTAGGGCACCTTCGTTATTTAGTTGTGTTGAAGATCTCTCTCTTGGACAGGGGTGTCAAAGACGATTTCATTGAGGGCCGGATCAGGGTTGTGTTTGACCTTGGGGGGCCGGGGTGGGTGTGAGCAGCTCGACCTCACTCGTGTCGGGGGCGCCTTTGGCAGCCTGAGCACTTTGCCACGTGAAAACGGGATCCGGAGCTCAGTTTTCAGTTGTGACGGCCTCCTATAACCCAATGCCAGCGAAAATGGAGCTCGGGAGGTCTGTGCGCAGTCCTCCCGAGCTCCGTTTTCATTGGCAGAGGCATCGCAGGCCGGTCCTTCGCTGTTTCCAGGGCGGCCCCACGGGCCAGATCTAAGCACACCCCTGCTCTAGGATGTTCTCTTATCATTTTTTAAAAGTCTCACGCCGCCTTTATACCACTAAGCCTGCTAGTAAAGGTAGTCCTCGACTTACAATGTTTTGCTTAGTGACCATTTGAAGTTACAACGGCCCTGAAAAAAGGGGACTTCTGACCGCTTTTGCGGTGTCCTGGGGTCACGTGATCCCCTTTGACGACCTTCTGACAAGTGAAGTCAACGGGGAAACCAGATTCACTTAACAACCGTGTTAGTAATTGAACAACTGCATGGGTTCGTTTAACAAATGTGGCAAGAAAAGTCGTAAAATGGGCCAAAACTCACTTGACAAATTTCTCATGTTGAGTTCAATTGTGGTTGTAAGTCGAGGACTATCTGTATAATCGTAGCAACATAAGCAATACTCCTTGGGAAGGAAAATCGAAATTAAAATATATAACCCTGAAAACAGCTCAGAGCTGCTTTGACCTATTTTTGACATTAAAGTTACCCAAATAAATAGAATGCATATATATGCTATTGTGGAAATCATATTGCTACCTTCAAAATGCTTACGTGTGCCATGTTCTTATTTTGTTTCCCCGACATTAGATTTCTAAACGAAATTCTATCTGGCTTTTATAACAAGCATTTTTGCAATTCATGACATTTTTCTGCAGCTATTTATATATGGACAGGAGGATATGACATGCTGGGTAGCATATCTTGCTGAATATGACATAGCTCAAGATAGAACTGCCAGCTTCCGTTCTAATAGAGGAGAATGAGGGATGACTGGCTAATTAAGGAAGCGTCTGATCCTTTTCTTAACATCTTCGTCTAGCAAGTTGCCTGTTGTATCTGATGCAATTTCTTTTCAACAGCCAAACCAGTGGTGGTGAATGCAACCCCCGTACGGATGTCTGTTCCAATTATCCCAGCAACGCAGACGGTCAAACAAGTGAGTTCCACATACACAGGCTTCATATGAATCCCTAGTTTTTTCCCAGAAACTTTCAGTTAATTCAACTCTGACTATCCTTACAAAGTTATTTGTTGCAAAAAGATTACACTTCGGTGCACAAAAAAGATATGTTGAATATTTCCTTCCTTGCAGGTGGCTCCCAAACCAATGAACACAACTTCGCAGATAGTTACCACAAGCCAGCCACAACAGAGACTCATTATGCCTGCCACACCACTGCCACAAATCCAACCCAACCTCACCAACCTTCCCCCTGGCACTGTCCTGGCCCCTGCCCATGGCACAGGAAACGTGGGATATGCATTTCTCCCAGCTCAGTATGTTACACAGGTATGAGATTATGAGAAGGAATTTACAAATATAATATATAGTGTTTGTAACTAGTACTCTTGGAGGAGAAGCTAGAGCAGGGGTGTCAAACTCATGTCGTCACGGTGGCATCATGTGACATATCGGGACTTTTTTTCCCCTTCGCTAAACTGGGCATGGGCGTGGCCAGTGCATGATTCAACTGGGCCACAGGCCAAGAATTTGACAGCCCTGAGCTAGAGAGTTTGTATATTTGGTAGTTGGAGGCAGTTGCTCAGCCTTCTGAACCTTTTCAGCATGCTGGCTAGGGAATTCTGGGAATTGAAGTCTACGCATCTTAAAGGGACTGCAATGAGAAACGTCGGTTTAAAGGATGTGATTTCTAAGGATGTGATTGCTGCGAGAAACGGTTCATCAGTTAAGGTTAAATCTTAGAAAAAAAAATCTTGAGTTGTTTTCTCCATTTTAAAAGTTGAGATTAAACATCGTAGAATATATGAAGCAGTTATCTGCTTAACGGAGCCTAGAATTTGTCCCTCTTGCTCTCCTGAGAAGAGGGAATGTCCTTTATTCCCTAAAATCCAGGGGGGGGAGAATTCTGAACAAAGCTGTAAGAAATGAAGTGTGATGTAATGTAATTTAGATGGCTAAGCAGAATGTATGTTTGCAGTATCGCATTTAGAGCTACTCAGCTTGGCAATATTTAAAGCCAAGTGCGGGCAGCTCTTCTTCCACATTGTCTTCCGTAGCCCGTGCATTCTTCAGATGTGTGGGCCTCACCTCCCAGAATTCCCCAACCAACCTTCTAAGGGTTTTGAGTGTTGAAATCCATAATTTGGAGAACAGCCAGCTGGTGTAAAAGGTGCAGGGGAAAAAAAAGTTACGATAGCAGAATACTTTTATGGAAAGCATAAGGTACGAATAGGGAAAATTGGGTTCTCAAGCTCGATTTGGATTACACTTTTCCCTTCAACTCTAATGTTGTCCAGTATTTATTACACATTCTGAATGAATACTCAGGTCAGCTTTATTTTGTTCTTAAGATGCTTATTCATTCTGATGTTACCTAGCCTTAAATGTATTGAGGGGGGAATGGCAGTATTGTAAAATGAGTTTCAAAAGATCTGAAAAGAAATGTTTTATTGAAGTCCACTAAGGGCAATAAGGGGCCCAAAGCAAATTTTGAAGCCGCAGAGAATTATAAGCTAAGAATGCTTTAGAACAGGGGTCACCAACCTTGGCAACTTTAAGACTTGTGGACTTCAACTCCCAGAATTCCTCAGCCGGCTAAACTTCAGACAGCACAAATTGCAAATCAACATAACATTTTTTTATGTACGTGTAGTTGAGCAGGCTGTTATTTTTAAGTGACCCCTCGTAAATTAGCCTATATCTTTTTTCACTTTAAGCTTTTATTCATAATCAAAATTGCAACTAAAATAACAAGAGATTAAGCTATCCTTGTACGTATACTAAGTTTGAAGATACTCTTCAGGACAAAGTTTCTATTGTTTTAAAAATACCAATGTTCTAAATACGGGAAAAGAAAGGTGTGGGATTAATGCAGCTATTTATGAAAAATCCTCACCTACAAGCAGCATGTCATGCATTAACTGTGTGTATGTGTTTTTTAAGCTGCAGCAGCCATCTTGTGTCTCCATAGCGAGCAATACTAGTCTTAGTGGGACATCAAGTATCCAGACCCAAGCCCGGCTTCCATTCAATGGGTGGGTATTGTCTACATAAATTATGCAACATGCATGCTACATGGAAGGAGATGAGATTGGGAAAAGTATTTAATGTTCAGCCAATAAAAAACAGCTGCTACAGTCATAGTGCCTTGTCTACATACACTAGATATTGAAGATTGTCCTTCTTTGCTTTGCATACAGCTTGGCTACTGATTGTGTGTTATTGATTTGGTTATTTCATCCCAGAGTCACAAGACAGAAAAAAAAAATGAAAACAGACTGTTAAAAATAGATAAACATACAGATAGGATCTTACAAATATTAGAATGTAACTTTGAAGCCATCTGTTAGGCTTGGCCTTTGTACAAAAGAATTCAATAAAAGAAAAGCCAGTCCAGGAAGATGGCCTATCTGGAATTGTCTTCCCCTGTTTCTTAGAAAAAGGGGCAATTTTATAATTGCCACCTGGATAAGTTTGTTTTTAGAGTATGTGTATGCATATGACTTCCAAAAGAGCTCACCTGTGAATTTTGGATTGTTGCTAATGTGGGCATACTTGCTTAAGTGGACACCAATGATTCGTGTGGAAATTTAGGCCCTGTTGCCAGGTGACAGCTTGTTACTGATTGGAATGGATGGATGGCCAGCTGCACATGATTCTCATCTAAAGATGGGTCCTCCTGGAAGGAACCCAAGAGAAAAGCCACAGCAGACAGGATCTGCTTCTTTCGGTGTCTTAGACAATTTCTTTCTTATAATATATCAACGTTGTACTCTTGAAATGCTTATCTGTGAGTCACACTTCTGTCCTCTGATTGTGGAACCTGTTGAGTTGACTTGAGCAGGCTAAGTTGTGAAGGGATGTTATGTTGTTCAGATGAAAAGAATAGAATAGAATAAATAGAATTCTTTATTGGGCAAGTGTGATTGGACACATAAGGAATTTGTCTTGGTGCAAATGCTCTCAGTGTACATAAAAAAGAAAAGATACATTTGTCAAGAATCATAAGACAATTCAGAAATGTCTTTTGTCTTCTAGAATAATCTCGTCTGAATCTGCAAACCGTCCAAGAAAGCCCTGCAATTGTACAAAGTCACTCTGTCTTAAGCTGTGAGTATTATACACATGGCCTCCAGGGAGGGGCCATTCAGCATCCACATTTGTTTTGCTTCCTGAGCTGGTTTAGCGTCCTACATTGTTCACCTCTCCTATCTGCTCTGTGCATACACGCATCTGGAACAGGCCCCAGCTCTTCCTCCTCCTCACTCATCTCTGACTCCAAAGGCAGCTGCCTCTCAGGCTGGGAAATGCTGGACGGCCTGGCTCTGTCTTTGTGTCCGATGCTTTGCTGTATATTAGAAGAAAACCTGGAAGAAGGAAAGCCACATTTTCCCCAGGGATTCCACTTTAAAAATTATTCTGTACAAATCTACTGAAATAATACTGTCCATTTGCATGATTAGAACAGGTCTCTGGGCAGTGATCTGTAGCTCAATGATTCGGACTTGGGAGAAGACCAACAGTAAACTTGGGCTTGCAGAAAAAGGAGTACAAGCAACATTACTTTTTCTGATATCCACAGGTTATTCTCAGGATGAATTCATGGCTGCTGAACTGAAAGAAATTCACTTTTTCCTTTAGGAGCAGTCCATGCTAGTTTATTTCCTTATTTTTGTACCGATTTAATCAATTTTCCAAATCTGATCACTCACCTAAGTGATTCTGGGTAGCTATCAAAATGTTATAAACAGTAAGATAGATAATGCTGTATCATATCTCAAAATGGACACATCTAACATTCCAGTCTGCATGCCTGGGAAGACTCAGGTTTTTAATGTCTTACAAAAGTGTAGCAAGGTTGGAGTCAATTGAATCAGGAGGATGATGGGGGACAGGAGGAGACCATTTGAGCTCCATGTGAGATGAATGTCAGAAGTGTTTTCTTTAGAGGCAGCCCCGGTTTCTGGTTTTTAATTTTGTTCCCTTCAAAGGGCCTGGACATTTTTTATGGCTCATGTCATGTGGAGAATTCCTGATAAGTCCAAGGTTAACATGCTCATACTCACAAATAAAGGAACCAGTGTATGTACACACACACACACACACACACGTGTACGTGTCTTTGCATAGGTTTGGATAGATGTTTTCAGATAAAAGTCCAGCAGGTTGCCACCCTCCATGTCCAGAAGTTTCTCCCGGCACTTAAGAGATTCTATGTGGTTGGATGTGGAAGAGAAAGAAGGAAGCAGTCAGAAATTCTGCGCTGAATTGGTCAAGCATCATTAGAGATGTTTGTTTGTTTTCTTTTACAGATACTGTGATTGCTTTGCAAATGGGGAGTTCTGTAACAATTGCAACTGTACAAATTGCTATAACAACCTGGACCATGAAAACGATAGGCAAAAAGCAATCAAGGTAAGATATATATTTTTTAAAAAATAATCCTGTGTCACCTTAGGGAAATACATTTCCCAAGTTCACAGTAGCCATGAGTTTCTTCCTGAACAGTAGGTAAAAACCACAGCTGTTGCCTTTACTACATTAGATGGATGTTTTTGTCAGTTTTTCCTGCACAGGACAGAAGTTGAATATCTTAACATTTTGGGTTTTTCTGTAATTGATTTCTCTCTCTCTTTCTCTCTCTTTTTTATCCTCTCTCCTCTCTTTTCTTTTTACATTTACCTTGTTAGGCTTGCCTGGACAGAAATCCTGAAGCCTTTAAACCTAAAATAGGGAAGGGAAAGGAAGGCGAGTCGGACAGGCGACACAGCAAAGGTTGTAACTGCAAAAGGTCTGGATGCCTCAAAAATTATTGCGAGTGCTATGAGGTAAAGAGGAGCTTTGTGACAATGCTTTCTTGGTTTAGTCTTGTGAAATTTATTATTTCAAAAATATAATCACTTAGTTTTAAAATTTATGTGGGATATTAAGAATTAAGTTCAGTCACCCAAAACTTAATTAACAAAAATGCTTTCACTTCTAAAAAAATTCTGAATGTTGATAGATCTTAATAGAGGGAATTCACTTCTATAAAGGTCCTCTACCATTCTCTCCCTGTTTAGTAATCTTTCTGTGTATTTGACAGTGACTGTTTTTGAGGATTTTCCAGCTTCTATTTTGATAACTTTTTGTGAAATTACTTTAATGAATATCATTTGTACAAAAAGTTCATAATTGTAGGTCTCTTGAGAAAAGTAAAATCTCTACTCCCCTTTTCTTATATTCTAATCAAGCAATAGATGGAAAATTCTTTTATCAAATCAATAGAATCAATTTTATTGATCCTGAAAAGCTTATTACTGTGAAAAGCTTATTACTGGGTTAATATTTCACAGTAATAAACTTTTTAGGATCAATAAAACTGATTTGATTCAATTTTACTTCCTCCTGTCCATACCAAATTTTATTAGTCTTAACTTTCTATACTATTTGTCAAAATGCTTTTACTATAAATTAAGAAAATGCTAGCCACACCTTTAACTATAAAAAAGGTTCAAAAACAATCAGGAAAGCTATGTCACAATCATACAGTTTCAGAAGTTCGTTAAAGGTAAACGTGTTTCCCTGCCAGAAATGAGACAGAAATTGAAAATCTGTATTATTTTTGAGGTGGCAATCTGATATTATTTTCAAGCATATTTATAGCACCATTCACCTTAATTTGGGCTTCAGAACAATGCACAACTTAAAGAACGTTTTGTAATAAAATAATCAGCAAAACTAAACGAGAGCAATAGCAGACTAAAATAATATCTCAATAGAGAATTTGTCTCCAGTTAAGGAGATTGCAGTGTAGGTGCCAGATAGAGTTGTGCAGATGAGAAGACTCACTGACCTTCTTTAGGTCAAAAAATCTACTTCATACTTGCATAAACCATCCCCAACACAAGAATATTTTCACATACAGAGTTGGATTGGAAAAAAAAACCCGGCTCATCCTTAATCATACTTGCATTATCATGGATTTGCCAGCAATTTTCTCACTGAGGTTACACTGAAAGGGGAAGCACCAAATGTAATACATTTGTCCTTTTATTCTGTATGTTCCATGCAGCTCTGTAAAAACCCAGTGAAAGTGCATTTGGTTGACTTTGGATTTCTCTCCGTTGTAGGCAAAGATCATGTGCTCTTCAATTTGCAAATGTATTGGCTGCAAGAATTTTGAAGAAAGTCCAGAACGGAAAACGTTGATGCACTTGGCTGATGCTGCTGAAGTGCGAGTCCAGCAGCAGACAGCCGCCAAGACAAAATTGTCTTCGCAGATTTCAGATCTTTTAACCAGGCCAGCCCCAGTGCTGACAAGCGGAGGGGGAAGGTGTGTGTCCACTTCTGGTTTGCTAGCTTTGTGCCATTTCTAAGTGTTTTCTTCCTCTCTTCCCCTTGCTAGCTGCTAAGCTCTTTTTATTTTTTTCCCTCATGCCCTCCACTGTTAGTGATCACGAGGGTGAAATACGGTGCACAGTTGAAGGGGTGCTGGTTTATAATTTGCCCTATTGTAGATTTAACGGTTCAGTACCTTTAAACCCGAAGAGCGAGCTGTGGGGTTGATTAATTAAAATCTGTAGCAGGCCGAATGCATTGGCCAGCCAGCCCCCAGCAGAGCTGGTGGCAGATTCAGATGATGAAGAAGCTGAGGAAGAACTTGGGTCCGTTCTGGAGCCTTGAGGAAGGCTCTGATAGATGTTCCGCATCGGACACCAAGATAGAGCCAGGGCCAAGGGCATTTCCCAGCCAGAGAGGCAGCTGCCTTTGGAATCAGAGATGAGTGAGGAGAAGGAACAGCTGGGTCTTGTTCCAGATGCGCATATGTGCAAAGCGGATAGGAGAGTTGAACAATGGGACAATGGGAAGCAAAACAAAGTTGGACGCTGAATGGCCCCTCCCTGGCTGGGGAATAAATAGGAGGAAAGGGGAGTGGTTTGGTTTTTCGCAGACAACTGCATTTCTGGAAAGTTTGCTCCTTGTGTGTTTCCTGTGACAAAGACTGCCTTGCCAGAACTGAGGTTTGTCTGTTTCTCTGTTTGAACTGACTTAATTTGCAGCCTCCCGGCTGGGAGCTCACAACCTTGCATTTATCATAACGAGCTGATAAGGACTATTGTTTCAGTTAACTCCTCCTGCGATTTCTGTTGGTGAAGGCAGTTAATTCCCAATGTGTAAATAAAGAGGGGTTTTCCTTTGTGGAGAATCTGTTTCTTGCCTCCGAGAAGGCTGTGTCAGAACAAGAGAAAAGGAGAAGAGGAAAGAGAAAAGGAAGCAAAATATAAGAGGAAAGAGAGGACAGAGAAAAGGAAGTGAAATATAATTCGAATATATTAGCACTGTTAAGAACCTTCCTCCTGCTGTTTGTGAGTAGCTCGGCTAACCGAAAGTGTGGTTGTTACAGCTGCCTTGCATGGAAACAACTCATGCTTTTTCCCCCCCACTTTCCAGGTTACCCTTCACGTTTGTAACAAAAGAGGTTGCTGATGCGACATGTGACTGTTTACTTGCACAGGCTGAACAGGCCGAGAAAGCAGGAAAATCAAAAGCAGTAGCGGAACGGATGATTCTAGAGGAGTTTGGACGTTGTCTAATGAGAATCATTAACTCGGCAGGAAAGTCCAAGAGTGATCCTTGTGCCATGAACTGCTGATTCTTTAAAAAATGGGCTTTTGCTCAGACTGGGACACTAAAAGGCACACGGACACTTTCCTGGTTCACAGCAGCATTCTTCGTTGGTTCTCTGGTGCTGTGAGGTTTCCACAGGTGTATTGTTAATATAGGAACTTTGCCATGAGGCTTTTAACTTAACTTTCTTTTGCTTCACAGATACAAGACGCGTTTTCTTCTCAACCTTTAAACAACATGGGACAGCAAGTGCAAAGTTTAGAGGGTTTCCTTCCCTTCGTTCTCTTTAAAGGGGTAGTCTAGAAGCAATTCTTTAAATTATTATTTGCAATTGTTATGCTTGACTTTTGTATTTAGAAGAAGAAAGAAAGAAACTAGTCAGTCTATCAGGAGCAAATTAGTTTTTGTGCAAAACTAATTGAAATGCCTGGATATTCTTACAAGAACAATATCCGTATACTGGATAGATTTTTTCCAGCTCATTCAATCAGCATCACAGCAGAGATTATATTTGCAAAAATATAGGCAGTGGTACATCTGTGGGTGAGTTAATGCTGACGGGAAATTATTAAAAAATATTTGCTGAAAAACAGCTTTAAAAATGCACATTTAAAAGTTATCTTGTTGGCCACAATCTAATTTCAGTGACAGTGCCTTGTCTGTTGATCTTAAAGTATTAACACCATAGCAGTGGTAGCTGCAGATATATAACATTGATAGAAAGAAAATCAAGGTGATAATTGATATCTTAAATCATTTTGGTACATTTTTAAAAATACATCACTGCACAATATATATTCCAAATTTTAATAAGACATTTTCATGTCTGGCTTTCAAGGGGATTGACATTTTATGTGACAAACGTCAGTGTAATTAGATTTTTAACATTTCTGCTATATGCCCTACAACAAAAAGAGGACAAACCCGGTTCTTGTTCCTTTAGAATCTAACTATTGGTCAATTATTGAGTTTCTCAGTTGCTCCTTCAAATACTCCAGTAGACTAATAAAAAAAACTTAATTAATTTAATCTTAATTTATATTTGTATTGTCCACATTTTATTCATACTCAACGGCTGGAATAGGTGGAAATAAATTGACGATCATGCCTATATTTGTTAGTGGAAGCAATACTGGGGATGTTTCTAAACTAAGGAACACTTGGCAATATTTCTCCTTTAATTATAAAGGGGTGACCAAGATAATACTTAGACTTCCCCAAATCTGGGTTACTTCCCAAAGTCTGGATTTCAATTCACAAAATTCCCCATCCCTGAGGATTCCAGAAACCCATTATGTCTGGAAGTGCTAAAATTAGAGGCTACCTTTAGTTGTGTAAAATGACCCAATGTTCTTACTATACTGTCTAAGTTTCCAGAAGAAGCCATTCTTTTGGGTCTCTGACGTTTCTCAAATCTTTTTGCCTCAATTCCAGATTATGCATGGTGAAATTGCTTTTGAAAAAATATTTTTAAATGGAAAGGGAAGAAGTCAGTACGCTTCCTACTATGGTCCTCATCCATTGTCAGTGAATTTCTTGGACGTAGCTCATTTATTGCTCTTATAAAAACTGCACAAGTTTTTTTTTAATTGTGCATGGCGCAACATGGAGGGTGCAACTTTTGAAGGCTGAGGTGCCTTTTTTTAAGAGTTCAGTAGGATGAACAAGTGGCTACTTTGCGATAATGATAGGCTTTGTGCTCACTGATGTCCGTGAGCTTTCATGCATCGACTTCAGTCTGTTGGGTTATGATTGAAGTGGATAAGACAGTGGAAGTCTGTAGAGCCACATCTGCTTGTGTAGCAAGTTAGATCCATCGTATAAAAATGCATATTTCAACTGGAGAGGGAGGGAAAGGTATTGAGGTGGGGAATCTTTTTCTTCAGCCAAGAGCAAGCATTAGTCCCAGTAAGTATTCAGCCGAGATGTTTTTTTAGCAGTGTTCAAACCAGTTTCAAGCTATGTTCATTCTTTTTGTTACTGAATTGGCTTAGTTTATATTTTAAAAGTATATATTAGAAGCATAATCTTAAGACAAAAACCTAAAAGATTTCCTTGGGAAAGAGAGGAAAGAGTGGAATGACATTATTTGGATGGAATTGCTTAGGAGAGAGAACCTTTGTGATAAAAACTATTAAAATGTGAAAGACAACTGCATGGTTTTGTAGTGAAGAAATTGTTTCAATGAGTTTATGAATATCTAAGTTTCATGTTTGAATTAGCAAGCACCTGCTAGATAATGTAGCCTGCTCTGTAATTATAGTGCTGCATTTTTTTCTACTCCAAATGGATGTTTTCTCCATATAATTGTGGATGTGTATAGATATACATACACACACAAACACACGTTCTGTTGTATTACAGTATATATGTACATAGCAAACTTGCTTAAATTACACACAACCCTGAAAGGGAACCTGTTTATTTCAATATAATTCTTTTACAAATAGAATTATTTTTGGGTGGGCAAGAGTTTGTTAATTTTCTGATTAGATGAAGACTTGCCTTTTTACTAATTTCATAAATGTCCATACAACAAGATTTGTACAAATGTAAACTAGTGTAAGTTGGTAAGTAAAGCTTGATCAAGTTATTTTTCAAACATGTATTGCTTTGTCTAGAATTACATTTGTTTTATGTTGTACATATTCCGTGTCTTATTGTAACTTGCACCTTTTTTGTGATGTGTATTTATAAGTGTGCAGAAAACCTTCTGTGAAGTTTGGATTCTGGTTGTAGATTATGTATAATGGAATTGTGTGTAAAAGATTTGAAGAAGGTGCAATCAAAGAAAACTAGTTTTTTGTCTCATAAAATAAGCTGTCTCTTTCACATAGCTTGGATTTTCTCCCCCTTTGAGTTTTTCTTGATTGTTTGCATGAAAGTGCTCACAGGTTAGTAAAATATATCAAGATCTTGATAGCAGCTTATCAAAATTATGCCTGCATTGTGATCCTCTGTCAGCTGAGATTCTGCAGTGTTTCTTTCAAAGCCTCTATAACAATAATTAGGAGCTGCTTAGCCAGAATGCTTTTATATTGCATCCCCTTATTAGCAGATTTTGAGATGGGGGAGGGTATTTGGGAAAATTTTCTAGTTATGGTTTTCATCCAAAAATAGATAAAAATTTATATTACTAGACCTATTAAAAGAATACACTTTTCTATATTGTAAAAACAAATGTCAAATAAAGAAAAAAAATAAAATGTTTATACTATTATGTACAAACTGACAAATGTGTTTTTCTTTGCTAATGTCAAAAAATTACAGTGGTACCTTGATACTCAGGCTTCATTGGTTACGGGAGGCACACCGAGTTCTAAACATGATGAGCAGCAAACAAGCCATGTGATTTATCACGTGACCCTTTGTTCTATTTGTTTATTTTATTTATTTATTTGTCAAACATGTACAAGATAACAAGTATAGGTAGGAACCTAAACACGAACAAAGGAAGTAAATACAGATAAATGGGGACAGTAAGACAGGGACGGTAGGCACGCTGGTGCGCTTATGCACGCCCCCTTTAAGGACCACTTAGGAATGGGGTGAGGTCCACGGTAGACAGTTCGAGGTTGAAGCTGTGAGGGGTTGAGGCTGTAATAATGGGAGTCAGGTAGGGCGTTCCAGGCGTTGACCACTCTGTGGCTCAAGTCGTGTTTTCTGCAATCGAGTTTGGAGCGGTTTACGTTGAGTTTGTATCAGTTGTTTGCCCGTGTATTATTGCGATTGAGGCTGAAGAAGTCGTTGATGGGCAAGATGTTGTAGCAGACAATTTTGTGAACTATGCTTAGATCGGACCACAGGCGGCGCAGTTTCAGATTGTCCAGGCCCAAAATTTCGAGCCTAGAGGCACAAGGAATTCTATTGTGAACGGAGGAGCAGAGTACTCTTCGAGAGAAATACCTCTGAACCCACTCAGTTGTCTTAATGTCCGATATACGGTGTGGGTTCCAGGCAGACAAGCTGTATTACCAGGAGGGACTTCTCACTTTTCCCATTTCCTGTGTCAGCGACCTTCCCGGCATAGCCGACTTCCTGTCCACCCTCTGAGGCTTTCCCCCAGTTCCTTTTGGAGTGCATCGAGTGACAAACAAACCAGGACAAACATTTTTATACGACAAAATGTGTCAAGTGCCAAATTTGAGGAGTTTTGAAGCAGTTGAGTACTGAGGTACCACTGTACTAGATTTCATTAGCATAACCACCGCAACTTGATAGTTCACTTGTCACTCATTTTTAAAATGTGTCATCTGAAACTTTTTTGAAAGTTAAATTTCTCATTTTTGCTTTAATGTTTTCCTTATATAATTTGTTACATCTTAACTGATACTGATGTTGACATGCAGCCTTTGCTTTCTCCATTTTGTTCCTCTAAATTCCTTCTGTTAAAACACTGTTTCTCCTTTAAAATTTTGTGAAAACAAGGCATTTACTGCCTGTCCTTTTCTGTAATTGATTAGCTAAGGAAAACCTCATCAGGTGAGTGCTGGTTAGTAAAAGCACGCTTAATTAAAAAAGCCTACATTATATTACAAGTTATTTAAAAAACCTGTAGTTCATGTCTATAAATATTCAGTCCCAAGTCTTACTTATAAGGCATGAAACAGCACAGCCTAACTAACCAGACTACCTATCTATCACAACAAGAGTTTGGACTAGTCGTAAAAAGCAGTGTTTTTTAAAAAAATGATCATTGCATAAGATTCTTTCATCGTATCTTGAATGACCATTCAATAATTTGGGTGAATTATGCTCCCGTTGGGGCCACTGGAAATTATTACATTCACACATCACTAGAGACTCAGAAGACACAACCTTTAAAGCTCTAATACAGAAGCCACCAAACTTGGCAACTTTAAGACTTATGGACTTCAACTCCAGAATTCTCTAGTCAGCTCCTCTGGCTGGAGAATTCTGGAAGTTGAAGTCCACAAGTCTTAATGTTGCCAAGTTTGCGGACCCCTGCTCTAATACAATTGAGCCCAAAATGTATGTTGCTAAGTGAGAAATGAATTTTGCCCCATTTTACAACTTTTCTTGCCACATTTCTTAAATGAATTGCTGTAGTTAAGCTAATAACACTGTTGTTAAGTGAATCTGGCTTCCCCATTGACTTTGCTTGTCAGAAGGTTGCAAAAAGTGATCACGATTCTGAGACACTGCAACCATCATAAATATGAACCTGTTGTCAAGCATCCGAATGTAAATCATATGACCATGAAGATGCTGCAGTGGTCATAAGTGTGAAGAATGGTCATAAGTCACTTTTTTCAGTGCCATTGTAACTTTGAACGGTCACTAAGAGAACTGTTGTAAGTGAAGGACTAGTAAATTTTTTCCCTCCCGAAGTTCTTATAATTGACAACTCTTCAGGAAGGACTAATTTTATCTTGAGATTAATTCTTAATAGAGTCATTGAAAGAACCACAATCATGTAGCTTGTTAATATGACATCTCCAAAGTGGTCTGTCAAATGAATAGTATTTCAGAAAGAGATCTCTCTACTGTTATGTCCCCACAATAGATGGGACCCGAATAATTTTTGCCACTGATTTCTCTAAGAAGATAGAGAAGTTATGCCAGTATTTTTTAGGCTTAGCCAGTTGAAAATGTGTAGCCCTCAATCCCCTAGCCAGCCATGCTGAATATTACTATATTGAATCATGATGTCATTCGTGTCACAAAAACTCCAGAAGCAAACAGCTTCCGTTATACAATCTGGCTCATTTATTTGCACACTTATCATAACATCAGAATCTTGGGTCACTCCAGCACCTTATTTCTAAACATAATCCATGGTGCTTAACTACTGAAGTACAGTGCGAACAATTCGGCTCTCTGAATCTGCGTCACAATCTTGCAGTCTTGAAATGATTTCTGAATGCCATTTAATGCTCTTCCCCCTCCCCCACTTTTTTTTGCAAACAGAATTCTACAGATTCTGCATCTATTTTGTATATTAATCTTCTATAACTTAAATGTGCTTTTTAAAAATCTGGAATAAAGGAATAAAACTTACTGAATTTGTTGAAGATAATGTTTATTCAATTTATGGGATTCCCCATAGCATGTCTCTCTTGCTAGACTTAATGTGATACAAACAGTCCTGCAAATAATTCCGCTTCATGCTGAATTTTACAGGGCTTTATAGCAGACAATCATCTCCTTGCGTTTCCCTGGAAGCACACTTGCCGATAACGCAAGAGATGTAACGTGACTATACCGAAGGATGTAAACCAGGGGTCTTCAAACTCGGCAAGTTTAAGACTTGTGGACTTCAACTTCCAGAATTTAGCATGACTGGAGAAGGAATTCTGGGATTTGAAGTCCACAAAAGTTGTCAAGTTTGAATACCCCCTAATGTAATCATTAGAGAAAGTATATGAGGATTAGAGTTTTCAGCATTCCATTTCAGAAACAACCAACAGACTGTTAACCTGTGGAAAAGCAGGCTGCTGACAAAATTGCAGACACCTGTGCTACTTTCCTCCCCTCCTATTTGAGCCTTCTCCCCATGGCTGAATTGCCTATAAAAACTGCAATTTTCAAACAAGTGAGGGGGAGGATGTGTGGAGTTTACAAGCTGGGCAGCCAGTAACACAAAAATCAGCCGAGCAAAAGACTTTTTTAAAAAATTATTTCACAGACACTCACTGGTCCAGAAGAAAAAGAAGAAATGCAGCAAAGAAAGCATAATGTAGAAAGTGCAAGAAAGTTTATATGCTGCTTGTTAGTAAATGTCTATGGAGATTCTCAGTCATCCAGGTCATGGTTCTCTCAAAGATGCTTTTTTCAAGAGGCAACTGGACTTTCTGGTTTTTCTTTGAAGACGTTGTTAGGGATACACCCTAGCAAGATCTGCAGGGCAGTCAGGCAGGCAGGCAGAATATGTGAGATATCGTTTTTTAGTAGCTTACACTCAGTAAACCAGATACACAGTGCCTATTAAATAGTTTTATTCCAGCAAGAGTTAAAAGCATAGTCAAAACAGTCCATATATCATTCACTTAGTTCAGTCCGTCCAGGGATTATTCAGTTGCAAATTCCAGTGTCGAAAAAGAGAGGTCAGTACACTTACAAATATCAGTCCGATGATATATCTCCTCACAGTAGAGAGATATGAAGAACTCAAAAACTCCTCTCTTCCTTCAGCAACTCTTCAGTAGGGGAAGGACGCAGCTAACAAACCATCAACGTAATCCAATCCAGTAATTGTCAGTAATTGCCAGCAAACCGTCAGGGAATCGTCAGCAATCAATCAGGTTGTCTTGCTCCCTCTTATGGTGGTTTCACACCACACCCAAAATTACATGCTTTGCATTTAAAGTGACACACACTTAAACTAACAATCATAGCTTATATATATTATTTTACCCAAACTACGTTAGGTGACCTATGTTATACCTAACAGACGTTTCACTTCTCATCCAAGAAGCTTCTTCAGCTCCTCACCATCCAGTCAGAGCCGAAGAAGTTTCTTGGATGAGAAATGAAACGTCTTCAAAGAAAAACCAGAAAGTCCAGTTGCCTCTTGAAAAAAGCATCTTTGGGACTGCTTGTTAGTAAAGAAGAAAAAATCCCAGTGAGAGAGATTAAAGACAAATCAGTGTAAGAGAAAAACATTGCTCTGACTACCAATAATAATAGGAGCAAAATACAATAATTTTCTCTATTTTGTAGAGAAAATAAATCGAAGTGTTGACATGTTTGTTCTACTTTGGTATTTTTTGTTAATAAAACATCTCCCCAACTTTTATACAGATGCAAAAATTCAACTGCCCAGTGGTTTTAGGGATCTCTTAACTCTGGATCATTTAAATTGGGTAGTTTAAAGAACCGATGACACAATCATATTGTACTAACAAAACATTAAAGCCCTCCAAAATACTTTAAGTAAGCTAAAGGACCCTGTAGCCCAAGAAGAAGAAAAATAGGAGTTGCCTACAATATACCGTTGAAAATAGCCACCATATTATATTGCCTCCCAACAATCTGGGTCCTCATTTTACCAACCTCAGAAGGATGGAAGGCTGAGTCAACCTTGAGGCAGTCAGGATCAAACTCCTGGCACTGAGAATGAAGAGTCAGCTTGCAATATTGC